ACATACAATGTTTACTATGCTTAGTTAACTGATGACATTGTACAGTAGGTCAACGAATAACAATAAAATAATATTCGTTAGTAATTTTCAAAGAACTATTTTTTATTCGCCATTTTGTTGTGGAATCGTTTATTTTTTCCAAAAAAGTATCTTATAAAGGTTATGTCATTTAATTATAAGAAAAGTCAATCATTGTGCACATCTCTTAAGGGCTACACAATCTTAAGATAGTCAATAGTATTCCTAACAATGTATATATGCCGTGTAAGTGGCCAAATAAAATAAAGGCAATTAATAATACAGTAAAAATCTTTTTGATAGACTAAAAATCTTTTAATTCACGATTCATTCTGATTTTTTACATAGCCTAGAACTAATGTAATATACTACTGAATAAAATATTATGATTATAAAGCTGTCTACAAGTATGTTTAAAGTGGTCACGTTCAAGGTCTGATGCTACGTTTTGGTCCAATCATGTGTCAAGGTAGGAGGCAGAACAAATCTCCGACATAAACTAATGCATGGACGGATCCTGAAGGCAGCGTACCGTTGTATTGAGATGTGCCTGACAAATTTTTACTTCTACTAGCATCTACCTTAGCCTTAAAAGATTCACAACTAGGCGTATAACCATACGTTTGAGCTTAGCTACTTTGAAAACCTTTTTGTGTTGTAAAATAGTTTTTGCCCTTTTTCCATGGAAGAATAAATACATAAAGCACCAAATGAATCCCTTTGTTCGTCTAATAAAATACAATTGAGCATATCAACTGCATTTTACCTATTGAACGTAATGTGAATATAGTGACATGAATATAATATTGGATACTGATTTCAACAAGGACAAATTGAGAAAAGTGTATTATTTATATAATTTAAGATGGGGACTATGTACAATGTAACTAAAAAAACTACTATGTAAGTACTTTAACCCAAATTTGAGTGAATGATGAGTTCAAAATGAAGTGTAATATATTGTCCGGCTTTGTTTTTGACTAAGACCAGCTGTTCATCTCTAAGGACCATTTATTCAGGACACATTTTTCTTAGGATATAACTGATATTCAATACACCTTAAAATACGCTAGTAATATTAACTGTTGTTTACATTACACAATCGAAATGCAATTTTAAGAATAATTTTGAGGCTATCAACTAAGATAAGATAGATTAGGTGGTGGCGTTAAGGTAAGGTGTTGACAATAGGCAGTTTACGGTTCCAATCCGAGGAACAGAGCCAATCTAGTAATTGGCTGAGCCATTGAGTTGCCCAACTCTTGTTCTCACTTGACTGATTTGTGTGATACTACTATTTACTGCTTTTGTATCTCAAAGCATCCTCCCTTTGTACTTTCGGTTAAGGTAGTGCATTTGAAGATAAGTCTTAGTATTCCTATATCTATTCATTTGCTTCATCTTCAAATCGCTTATCTATTTACGAGCAACTTAAACATGTTCCATCATGTTGTACTAACCAATTGATATAAACCAAATTTTCTAAAGATTTGAAGGGTTTGATTGAGCTTCTTCAATTTTATATTTAAATTGCAATGTGTTAGGAATAGTGGTTGTCCATTACAGCTTACAGTATAGCAATTCTGTAAATAAACAATAATACAGAAAATGATATTCCATTAGATTAAATCTTGTTTAACCCATAACAAAAATAATCCTGTAATTGTTTTATAAACCGTGTATATAGTTTTGAAGTTTACGTGTATTTAGTATACAATCATGCTTTGGCCACTTCTACGGGTAATTAACATAGTATAAAGGTTATCCATCTATAATTTATTTAAAACTTTTGTTATCGTAAGTAAAATAATAATAAGCATAATAAAAGTGTTCCACTTGTACTGAATCGGCCAATTTAGGTGAGATATGAAACTCTGCAAGCGACGCGAATATCAAGAAAGATTATTAATTACTGGACGTAGAAAACTTCCTGGAATACAAGCAATTTAATCAATGTCATGAGTTTGATTTGTATCCCAATGAATGTAGAACCAAATAAACCATTCATTTTAAAATTTATATTTTAAAATTAATATTAATTTAAAAACAAATATTTTTTAAATAATAATATTTTATAAATATGATGAATGTGAAAATATTAATAACTTGACATTCCTCGTAAGTGTTAAGAATCAATTTACATTGTAAGAAATATATTCATTACATTGGCTCTTAAATGTGTGGAAATTATGTACCACCTGATGTATAACTTATTTATTTTATTTTAATATTTTGTTTGAGGTAGTAGGAGTAGTGGAATATGGAAATAGAAATAACTAGTCCAATAACTTGTCAAGAAATATTACTATTGAAAAATATTAAACCTCTGTTTTATACATAACGATTATTTTGATGAATCAATTAAACAATTAAAACTAAATACTTTAGAAACATTTTTTCACAAAAATATCAATTGAGGATTTATATTAAGCCATTAATTCAATACGAATTTAATTTTCATTGAAAACCAATTTAAAGAAATACACTAATTTTAAAAGTTATAATTTACATATCAGTATTCAGTAATACCTTTATTAACTTACACTGGGACGCACTAGTTTTTGCCGGCTGTTGAGGGATTAAAAGTTGTTATGCCAAAACACTCGGTATCAACTGTTTAAAGTTCCGTTATGTTGTTCATTCCACATAAGCAATACAAGTTGTGGGTCGCTTTGACTCAAAACTGACTCTCGTGGTTATCAACAAGATACTGATTGTATTTTTTTTCTCGAGCTGACATGTTTTGCTGACTACAGTTTGTGTGGAGGTGTACAAAGTCAATATATCTTGGTTAGGATGTTTGTAGTGATTTGTTCGTGGGGTAAAATTAAATGTTATGTATCAACAATTCTTTAGCTTGTTCAACATAGCTGTACCTTGGTCATGTGAAACCAAATTAAAGTGATAGAAAATCACATAACTTGTAAGAATTACGTATTTACTTATGACCCAACTAGAGTAAAGTACATAATTTTTGTAATATTTTCAGATTTATTTTGATAAATGTTATAAACTTTTACAGTAGTATTAACGGAAAAAAAGAAAATAAAAAAAGATGTTTTGGTATATTCGATTCCATTAGGACAATCTACAAGAAGAAATTAGCCCTTTGAGACATTCATTGAAAAGTGCCAGAAGAAAGCCTGCAGTACACAACACTCTGTTAAAGAGATTATGTACATAAAAGTAACAAATCCAAAATTACCTTTTCTAAGAGGTCTTCAAAAAATCTCAAAACACAACATACCAATTAAACTTTTAGTCAATTTTGACATCTCCAGGATAATGAAAAAAGATATACAGAATAATCAGACTGAAACAGTCGGCAGTTCACACTTGTTGTCTTATGCGTAACTGTGTGTTTATGTACTAACTTTAAGATTTCAGTTATTTCAATTCTCTTACAACAAGAGAGACACAACCTATTTGACGCTTATAATCAAATAGTGTAAGAATTTGTGAAAAGAATAATTTCGTACAATCACTGCAAATTTTTTATATGAAGTGGTGTAAAATATTGTACACGGAAGTTTGAGGACGACATTTAAAGTTTCTCTCAGGATTTACAGCCAGAGTTACACAGACATGTTTATATCCTGAGTAGCCACCGTGTTACAGCCAAGTTAAGCCTTATATTTAGTCAACACTGGTGATTGATTTTTATAATTATTTATTTTATATTTATGATGGATGGATACCTTAACGTTTTAGTTCTATTAACTCTCATTGATACCTGTTACGGAATAGGCTACACAATGAAATCGATCACATGTAGTTTTTAGTTTTTCCAGCTTTTGATATCAAATACAGTAGATGAGTTGAATGCTGTAAGTTATTACAAACAGAGGAGGATAAAGAAATAATATATACATTCATTTTCAGTGATAATTCAAACATTAAATCTACTTCAACATTTATACAGTTTCTATAACTTTTATAGGGTGGTTTAAAAACAATTTTTTTTTCTTCAAGAGTAAATATGTTTCTCAAAGCAAGTAAAACTATTCTGCCTGACCTACATAAAACATTAATTACTTCCCACTGCTTTAGTTTAATTAGTTTTGAGGGGTCGTGGATGCCATTGGTCTTGAAGATAACCTATTTTGCTTTTGCCTCTCCTGTCGGTCTCATATTTTCCCACCTTTTCTTTATCTATATCATATTATGTATAAGGGCAAAGTAGCATAACTTATTAGCAATAATTTCATCAATTCTTCAGATAGTGTCATTTTAATTATATACACAATGTTATGAAAAGTATTTTGATGAAATAATAATGTAATAAATAAAATAGTTTTGGTAGTTAAAATGGCTAATTGACGTTTTCTGGATTGAATAAACCTTTTCTTCTAGGTAACCCGTAGTGATCTTTCTATGTTTCCAATTCTTTGCATGAAACAATTTTTACTTTAACGACGTAAAGACAACGGAATTTAGATTTAAGCTCATAAATTGCCATCTATGCTTGTTTAATGTTCTTTGGGTCAACGAAGGAAAGTATTTGTAACTTCAGAATTTGGTAATAAGTTACCAAACATTTTAGAAAATGAATTATGAAAAAATAACATCAATATCGCTTTTAAAACCTCAAACAAGTTGCAAAAACTACTCAGCAGTGTTGATAAAAATAGAGTAAACAATATAGCTGACAGAACTGGTATTTACAAGTTATCATGTAACGATAAAAACAAATTACATTGGGCAAACAGGCAGAGCATTTCAAACGAGATCCAAAGAATATTTTCCTAAAGCAAGTAATCATCTGAAGCCCAATTTTTGCAGCAAATCTTGTAAAGAAAACCATAACTACAGTGATTTTAACACGAATTTAACCCCTCTACATTTGTGCAATAAAGGCAACGTCATGGACGCTTTAGAAGAGTTCGAAATTAATAAAACTACCAAAACTCAACTTAAACGACAAAATCAGTTTCCAGTCTAACGCTCTGTATGATACTCTAATAAAAAACCAAGAACAGCTTATGAACAAGGAGCCGAGACGTAGAAAGTCCACCGCCCGACCATCTTCGCATCTAGTTATGACCTTCACCTACCACTTTGCGGTAGGATATTGTAAGTTTTTGTCGGTAGGCCTACTCTTATTTGTTCGTAAAACGTCTGTATTTATTATGTGCTCGTGTTTTGTATTTAAAATCTTGACGACCTTTTGAAAGTGACAGTGTTAAATGTTCTTGTACAAGGTTTGATGATGAGGACTTAAGTCCTCGAAACGTGTAATCCATAAGGACTAACAGGATCAATGTGGCAGTACTCAGGTAATTTTATACCTTTTATGGTTATGAATGTGTTTTTTATTATTGCTAAACCATAAACACATTCTTAGCACCCGCCAATAATGGACTAACGTTTAGTTCTCACAAACATTTTTATTGTATGGAAGCAACTCTATGTTTCAATCTGCGGTTGTAGCTGAGGAAATGGTAGATTATAAAAAAACAATTATTGATTGGTTTTAGAAGTATGGCTATTTTTCCAAAGCTATAACCAAGCGATGCTTGTCCTGCCCGATTTTTTGACGACGCTCGACGCTCAGACGAGTCATGCTTCTTGTCACTGTTTTCAGTCTAGATCAAGACGTCAGAGGAGCAAGAATCACGGGACATTGTTGCTTCGAAAAAGCTTGGAGGTATTCAAATTTTAGTCTTCATATGTGGAACACAGTGTCGTACGTCATTATTTTACCTTTAACAGGGGACAGCTCATGAGGAGTAGGTATATAATCTTTAACTTAAGTTAATATGCACATGATTTTAAAGGGCTGGTCAAGTGGAGTTCATTGCCAGAAAACCACGTCTCAAAAGGTTCATCCGTTACAAAATGGTGGAAGTCCAAAGTTCTTGTGGAATATACCTACACAGGCCTAGGTATTGGTAAATGCTTGTATTCAACATTAGCTTGAGAGCTGAAATTGTATTTGAAAATTAACTTGCTCATAGACTAATATTAATCAACCTTAAAAAAAAAATGTATGTATATGTTTTTTTTTCAGAATACTGAGCCAAGTTAAGAGTTACTTGCAGATGACCAGTATTTCAGTTTCGCAGAATTGTCATTCCTTTATTTTGTCAACATTATGCACGATTGCACAACATGTTAAAGCAATTAGATAACCCATTTTCATCGTAAATTCAACATACAATATATAACGTCCAACTCAAATTTTGCATTTAATTCATGATGTATCAATGTTTAGCTATCGCAGTGAATAGTTGATCTAAATAACAGCTGCTACAGGTAGCCTACATAGCAGATGTGATCATATAGAGCGGTTACCTAGCCTCCACCAAGCTCCCCCCAGCACCAGACCGTTTATACAAACGCAATACCAACACCTGACACAACTAGACTATACAGGTGTTTCAAATGGGACAATTGCTCTGGGGGTGAACTCATTCACGTAATTTACGTTTTTATACGGAAGAACATTTTCACAAATAACTTCAGGTAATGGTGTTTTTGGATTACGGTAATTCTAAGTATATCAGTTAAACGTATACTTGATTTTTTCAAGTTATAGTAGATTTACAAATTTGCAATAGTCTAAGGCTTACTGTAGAAGAAGGATATTTACCACTGACTACATTATGATTTATTGAAAGAACTTAAAGAAAAATTGCGAGCTATCATTTATGTTGTTAATCGGTGTTGATGGATGACGTCCTATCCTAAGTACTTAAGTCCAAATAATAATGCATATACATATACATATACATATTGGATTTTAAATTCATGGAAATGTGGACGGTGTTTAAAAACCTCTTAAGATCATTCACACATGGTACAAAATATGTCCAAGAAGAATTAAAGTAAAAAAAAAATCACTTGGATAATTATTATCTGTAGAAAAAATATTGAAGGAGGTTATATTTGTTGTTTGCTACGTCACTTGCTGGTCAACTATCCTAGGATGCTCTCATCACCTTGATATTGATTGGGGTCAAATCAACTTAATATTGCAGATCGATATTTCAGTTGAACCTTACAACAAGGAATGTAATAATAGTTTTTTTTTCATCAAAGTCAATTGACAGTAATATGTCCCTGGTGCTTTAGGCGTTTCATTCTTAAACTATGGAATTAGATTTAAAAATCATTCTCAGAAAATACGTTAAAATATTCCAGTCAAAGCCAAGTAATCTGTTATTTTTATTATGGTGTTTAATATATCTTAGCACTGGTTTATGTAGCACGTATCACTGACGTATCATCAAGATATTGAAATGAAATTAAATGAAAAGTCATTTTTTACACATGCAAAGTTAGGTCCACATGGCCCTTTCTTACACTCAACCTGTACAGATATTGCTTTCGTTTATAAAATTTAATTACCTAAATTGCGTAAATTTACCATTCTTTTGACGTTAGTAGTAGGTATGTTTAAAAAAAAATCCACGTTGCCTTAATATAAATATATATTTCTTATTTTTCAAGTTAGTTAAAGTGACGTAAAAAATTCAAGTTACTGATACCATGAAGTGTCTAAATTTGTGAACAAATTCCCCTTTTCCCACATCATAAGGGGCCGGGGTTGGTTAAAAATCTGCTGTGCACGAAAGAAATACAAGTATGCAGTAATTCCACATGTTGGTAGCTAAATTAACATTAGATAATTAATGAATTCCCTTTGTTTTCTCATAGCGAAAATACATTTTCAAAGTCGTCCACCATTTTGTTTTTATAGTTAGCAAAATGATGAACAAGAAACATTGACTCCTAATTTTAAGCTCGGGTGCATGAAAGTTAACTGTAAACGAATCTCTAACGTAATCGCTAAAATATCAGGGGAATTATAAATTGTACTCTGTCAAGAAGTAATCACTCCCGCGGGTCATCATAGTTCATGGCACTTACTTTGTAACTTAAGCGTAAAAGAACTGACTCGTTTAATGTGCCTCAATAGAAATATTAGCTACCTTGCTTCAACTTAAATATTTATCTATGTGTTGTAATGAAATATATAACTGTTAGAGGAAAAGCTGGTTACATAGTATGTGATAAACTATTGTTTTATAATTAGTTATTATAAGATACTCTAAAACATGAGGTAAGAGTGTTATCTATGGCAAGATAAATATGACTATTACCATTGAGAGGTAGTATATACTCCAGTCATGTATCAAGATAAGACACTGTCGTACGGTAGTTGGTACTGTAGAATACACCGTATGCTTCACACTGTTATTATGAGATACTCTAAAACATCAGGTCATGTAAAAGTGTTATCTAGTGGCAAGATAAATGTGACTATTACCATTGAGAGGTAGTGTATACTCCAGTCATGTATCAAGATAAGACACTGTCGTGCGGTAGTTGGTACTGTAGAATACACTGTATGCTTCACACTGTTATTATAAGACACTCTATAATATGAGGCCAAGTTAGAGTGTTACCTAGTGAAAGGATGAATGTGACTATTACCATTGAGAGGTAGTGTATACTCCAGTCATGTATCAAGATAAGACACTGTTGTGCGGAAGTTAGTAGAATACACTGTATGCTTCACACTGTTATTAGGAGATACTCTAAAACATCAGGTCAAGTAAAAGTGTTATCTATTGGCAAGATAAATGTGACTATTACCATTGAGAGGTAGTGTATACTCCAGTCATGTATCAAGATAAGACACTGTCGTGCGGTAGTCGGTAGAATACACTGTATGCTTCACACTGTTATTATGAGATACTCTATAACATGAGGTCAAGTAAGAGTGTTATCTAGTGGCAAGATAAATGTGACTATTGCCATTGAGAGGTAGTGTATACTCCAGTCATGTATCAAGATTAGACACTGTCGTGCGGTAGTCGGTAGAATACACTGTATGCTTCACACTGTTATTATGAGATACTCTATAACATGAGATCAAGTTAGAGTGTTATCTAGTGGCAGGATAAATGGCACTATTACCTACCATTGAGAGGTAGTGTATACTCCAGTCATGTATCAAGATAAGACACTGGTGTGCGGTAGTCGGTAGAATACACTGTATGCTTCACACTGTTATTATGAGATACTCTATAACATGAGGTCAAGTAAGAATGTTATCTTGTGGCAAGATAAATGTGACTATTACCATTGAGAGGTAGTGTATACTCCAGTCATGTATCAAGATAAGACACTGTTGTGCGGTAGTTAGTAGAATACACTGTATGCTTCACACTGTTATTAGGAGATACTCTAAAACATCAGGTCAAGTAAAAGTGTTATCTAGTGGCAAGATAAATGTGACTATTACAATTGAGAGGTAGTGTATACTCCAGTCACGTATCAAGATAAGACACTGGTGTGCGGTAGTTAGTAGAATACACTGTATGCTTCACACTGTTATTAGGAGATACTCTAAAACATGAGGTCAAGAGGGAGTGTTATCTAGTGGCAAGATAAATGGCGTGTAGTCCTATTCCGCCCGAGTTTTATTTCGCCCGTAGCCTAATTAGTCCTAGTTCGCCCACGATCCCAGATTAACCCTTATAATCCTCAGCGCTACCTGCGTCAGGAGTCCTATTCCATCGGTGTCGTGCCAGAAGCGACCGTGCCAGAAGCGACCCGTGCCGCTAGCGACCCAACAATTTTCTACCGTGCCGCTAGCGACCCAAGAATTTGGAGCGGGAGGCGAGTAATGAATTAACGCCGATTCAACTTATATTCTTAACAAAAACTAAACAGAATTTCATTATAAAACCATTAAAACGATTTTCTGTAACATTAAATACATAACAAAATACTCCCACCGCAGCAGTCCTGAAGACTAATTAATTCCCGTTTGGGGAAGAAAAAATAGTTTTTTATGTAAATTGTATCATATAATTCATACGAATATACAATTACCAACACATATCCATAAATAAGCAAACTATAACAATTTGTTGACTCCAGGTGCATTTATTGTAATGGGCCTATTTATTTTTTATTCGTTCGTGTATGTGTGTGTGAAAGTTTATGGACATTAGTAAACAATGATAAGTATGTTTTTCCAACTGAAATGTTTTGACAATGGCGGATACATGCAGAAACATGTACCTACTATTTTAGCTGTTTGTCGGATTATAAGTTATGTAAACCTATTTATCTCAAATCACATAGAATATAACAGCTCAGGAGCTAGAATGGAAATGAATTATAACCAAATTACTTAAATTACCAATTACATATATTTTTTACGAATGATGTTTTTGCTCTCTCGGGGCATCAAAACGAAAAATGAAATAGGTCCCGGGTCAAGGTCTTTCAATGAGACCTACAATAGCTTATTCCCTATATGAAAACGAGTATTCTAGCACAACTAAATAAAGAAGATTTTGAGGTTTCTAGTCATAGTACGACAGCTTACAACCCCTGATGTTGTTGACCTGCTATCACGAAAAATGACGAAGACGTCTCTTCTAAATAAAAAATAATAATATAAGTCAAGAAAAGGGTAGGAATTTATTGTATATACTATATATATTTATAATGACGAAGCTATCTATACAGATGGTGTACAGATAATTTAATGTTTATTTATATAAAAAATCCCAAAAAAATCTAACAAAATATGTTAACAATTGGTAACACGTCAACTTCATTAAATTCTAAGAATCCACTATCTCCAAACAGGCTAGTAGCAAAAATCCAAAGTTTGACGATTCGAATGGTTTCTGCTTTTTGAATTTTGTCTGGATTTTATTAGTGCAAGTTGCACTAACTATCCAAATACTTTAATAAAACTGTCTTCCCGGTATTTTGTATCTGATTTTGTATACCTTTATTTTTAATTGTAGTTATAATTTATTTTTTTATTTTAACCAAATTATTACCAATTAACTAACATGCCATGTTTTATAAATATCTTTTTTTTTAATTTAGAATATTTTTTTACTGATAGAGGAAATTTCTCACGCACGGGTAGTAGCCTATGTGAGAGGGATTTCATATTTATTGTCTATGTCAGTATATTATCACATAACTATGGCATAATAAAAAAAATTGTACTGACAAAGTATTGTAACATAGTATTATACTTACTGAAATAGACATTATTTTGATTATATTTGATAAACTACCTACATGTGAAGTTTTATTTAGATCTTTTGAGAGGTTCCCATGCGATTAAAACGTATATACCTCCCTTTGAGGTTAGAACGTGTCTTCCCAACAAACAGATTTTTTAAAATAAAATCATAGATTATTCTGCATTACACTGATGAAATCACGAAAGTGTGTAACCTCAAAAGATCCACCAATACTATTTTAATACTATTTAAAGGTTCTTCCAAAGGAAGAGATACCACATAACATACTATCTCCGATGACGTACGGTATGGGAAATATTTTTACCTACGACCGTTTTTTAAAGTAGCCGTTTCAGTACAGTTCTTAGCATTGAAAAGTATCTCATAACAGCATTGTTTACATTCATAACAGCATAGTTTTACTCATAACAACACGGGTAACGAACCAATGAGGTTCAAGGATTGAGAGAGGAGAAGCAAAATTGTAATGATTCGAAATTCAACTAATCAGCTGTTCAGGCCAATTTAATTGTTGATTGGTGCAATTAGTATTTGATACAATGTTTCGTTGCATCAATATCAGTGACAATTAGAGGTTATAAACAAAAACATAACCACTCTCAGAAGTTATGAGTAGTGACTTTTAGTAATTAAAACACCGTCGTAGGTAAAGTAGTGTACGCAACTCGCGTAAATAGTGTTAACGACACTCGTAGAAGTTTTTAAAGCACTCGCCAAGGCTCGTACCTTAAATTTTCTACTCGTGTCGTTAACACTATCTTTACGCAATCGTTGCTTAAACTACTATATTCACTGAATGATCAACCATATTTGGTAACTAACGCAATTAATATCATTATTGTTTTTACACTTATTAATCTTTAAACAATGCTAAATGCTCAAAATATGTATAATTTCACTCAGTTTATCGCAGTTAGATGAGTTAGCGTAAGCCTTGAAAGTAACCGTCGATTTCGACGGGTTTCATCTAGTATTACTATAACAAGAATAGGATTTGTTTAAATGCCATGAACACCGATTTGAACAAAACATTGTAAAATCCTTTATCAAACAATGGGTCGCTAGTGGCACTCACACTACTACCAGGGTCGCTTCTGGCACGATTTTTGCTGGGTCGCTTCTGGCACGGTCGCTTCCGGCACGTAATCATTCCATCCACGGAGGAACCCACCCACCCCCAACTATGTAAAAGCCCTCCCCTACCCATCACCCAGTTATTTACCTTTGACTACACGGTTATTTAAGCTTAAAATATTTGTTTGACAAATCAAGCGAATTTCCTTTATAGTATTAATGTAAAGTTTAAACACAAAGATATCTGTAAAATATTTATAAAATTTACTGTCTATGTACTGTTAGTTACTGTATGTTTGTCTCCCTATCCAAAATGTGCAAATAAGCAATTTAGCGCTTAATGTCAAACAGAAACATATGATAACACTGCAATCCAAGACATGGCCAAACAAAGGCCACTAGTTAGCCGCTTCTAGTGTTAAATACCCAACTGCATACCTTTGAGTTTTATTTATTATACAATGTAAATAATTCGCCTTTTGGGTTTGATGATGATTGGAGTGTCGAATCGAACTCGATCACCATTTGCCCTCTTTTGTGTATATTTATCGTCTGGTAACAGTATAAGTGAAAAAATATATGTTTTAAGTGTTTTTAGACGTATTTTTTTACTTTTCGTTTACAATGTAATATACTGTAGTAGTTTACGTAAGGAATACGTTAAGATAGTGTCGTTTACTTTATTTACCCGAGTTGCATACACTACTTTACCTACGACAATATTTTAATTACTTATATCACTATTCATAACTCCTAAGAGAGGTTATGTTTCCGTTTAAGTTATAAAATCTCATTGCCACTGACAGTGGTGCAACGAACCATTGTACCAATGTTGTTTTGTAAATAAACAATGCTGTTAAGAGAATCTTTCCAATTCTAAGAATTGCACTGAAATGGCTAGCTTAAAAACAGTCGTAGGTATTAGTTTATAGTATCGTAGTAATTGTTGTAATTTTATGACAAGGAGTAGAAAGTAAGTCATTACATATTTAATACAATTTTTGAAGTTTGGGATTTATCGAGCACTTTAAATGGTCGAGATTATGTTTAGACCCATCTTCACTAGTGTTTTGAACGTTACTCTTCGCTACACCACAAAGAACAAGAGCAATCGAGCAATTGCAAAGAACTAAAGGAGTTATTTATAAACAAATAACTTGTTTAAAAACTAATAACAGTAATAATTTCCGATGATTTTAAAAGAGTCAACTAAAAGATTATTAACTAATGGAAATAATCACTATTTACATAACAGTCCTATTCTAGTTTAAAGGGTTAATTTTTAACAATCAAACTGCCCATGGACGGGAAAAGGTAAGCATACAGTTTAAGTCAACGTTATCATATGGATTGCAGTGTTATCATATGTTTCTGTTTGACATTAAGCGCTAAATTGCTTATTTGCACATTTTGGATAGGGAGACAAACATACAGTAACTAACAGTATATGGACAGTAAATTTTATAAATATTTTACAGATATCTTTGTGTTTAAACTTTACATTAATACTATAAAGGAAATTCGCTTGATTTGTCAAACAAATATTTTAAGCTTAAATAACCGTGTAGTCAAATGTAAATAACCGGGTGATGGGTAGGGGAGGTAGTGTATACTCCAGTCATGTATCAAGATAAGACACTGTCGTGCGGTAGTATGTAGAATACACTGTATGCTTCACACTGTTATTATGAGATACTCTATAACATGAGGTCAAGTAAGAGTGTTATCTAGTGGCAAGATAAATGTGACTATTACCATTGAGAGGTAGTGTATACTCCAGTCATGTATCAAGATAAGACACTGTCGTGCGGTAGTCGGTAGAATACACTGTATGCTTCACACTGTTATTATGAGATACTCTATAACATGAGGTCAAGTTAGAGTGTTATCTAGTGGCAGGATAAATGGCACTATTACCATTGAGAGGTAGTGTATACTCCAGTCATGTATCAAGATAAGACACTGGTGTGCGGTAGTCGGTAGAATACACTGTATGCTTCACACTGTTATTATGAGATACTCTATAACATGAGGTCAAGTAAGAGTGTTATCTTGTGGCAAGATAAATGTGACTATTACCATTGAGAGGTAGTGTATACTTGAGTCATGTATCAAGATAAGCCACTAGTGTGCGCTAGTTGGTAGAATACACTGTATGCTTCACACTGTTATTATAAGACACTCTATAACATGAGGTCAAGTTAGAGTGTTATCTAGTGGCAGGATAAATGTGACTATTACCATTGAGAGGTAGTGTATACTCCAGTCATGTATCAAGATAAGCCACTGGTGTGCGGTAGTTGGTAGAATACACTGTATGCTTCACACTGTTATTATAAGACACTCTATAACATGAGGTCAAGTTAGAGTGTTATCTAGTGGCAGGATAAATGTGACTATTACCATTGAGAGGTAGTGTATACTCCAGTCATGTATCAAGATAATACACTGGTGTGCGGTAGTTGGTAGAATACACTGTATGCTTCACACTGTTATTATAAGACACTCTATAACATGAGGTCAAGTTAGA